GCAAACCTCGAAGATGAATTGGTGAAGGAAGCGCTAAAAACCGTAAGTTTTTTTTTTAAGCCCTGGGTTGGCGACATCTGCTGCTGTGTCTTGACCATTTCTGTTTCACCATCGTGGAGTCTGACAGCTAAAGCCGCAGAGCTTGCCATTGATATCGCTGTCTGGCAAGCTTTCCCACTGCGTTTCACCCACAAGATATAACAAGGACCCCACCCGTTGGGGCTTTGGATTGCAGGGTTACGAGGATCCGAGTGGGAAATCTCCCTATCACCGGTGACTGGTCTGCCCTTCCCGGTCCTGCCGATGGACCAGGACGGCTGTGTTGGAATACTGCGGACCTGACTGGCTCAGGACCTGGACCAGAGACCGTCACAGTGGTCCGGCTCGATTATGACACTCTGGTGGTGGGGGGGTGGGGGGGAAGCTAATAAAAAAAATTAAACTGGAGCCTCGGGATTTTGTTGTCCAAGTTCAGACGTCATGAATTTCAACCTTTTCTCTTTCAGGGAGTGGATCTGAGGCATTACTCCAAGCAAGTGGAGACTGAGTTACAGCACATAGAATATGCATCCATCAAGGACTGTATCCTTTTTTCGTGCAGTCCTGTAACGCATTGGTCAGATCGCTCGCCTCGCAAGCAAGAGGACTCGGGTTCAATTCCCGGGCAGGGCGAACCCTGAGGCAAGTTTCCTTACTCCGAAGGATGGCACCATTACAATATGGCACTCGGCCACGAGCGCCAGATAGATGGAGGCTTGGGGGAGTCAGAGAATGGAGTAAAGTGTGAGAGGGAGGTGGATAGAGACTTGGGGGAGTCAGGGGAAGGATTGTGGTATGAGTCCTGACATGGGTGTTGCACCCACAACTTTCTGACTCGGGCAAGATGGCTCCCAGACTGATTGCCATCTTTGTTTTCTTTTGATTGTGAGTCCTTATCTATGGTCGTTTTCAGACATTAAGGAGAGTCAAAACATCGCCAGTCTTCATAACCAGATCACAGCCTGTGACACCATCCTGGAGGTAAGGCGCACTCTCTCTTGATAATAATAATCCTTGCATTTGATATGACGCCTTAACACGTCTTCGAGACGTCTCAGAGGGTTTCACAACATACTTCAAAGTGGATTGACTGTATATTTACTGATAGGTAAACTGATATTGACTGATAGGTAAACTGATAGGTGTGTGGAGTAAGGACCCTTGTCCAGGGATTTGCCCTGCCCGAGAATCAAACCCGTCCTCTCACTTGCTTCTTCGAGACGTCTCAAAGCACTTCACAGAATCTAACTATAAAGTGAATTGACTATATTTTGTGAGTGAAACGTATTGTATTCTCTCTTGTCTGTTGTCCCAGTGCCTTCGGACTTGCTTCAGACCTGAAACGCGCTGTAAAAATGTTCTTGCTTGAACAGATTTGTTGTTGTTTTTGTCCGTCTTTGCTCCTGCTAACGTCGCCCCTTCTCGATGTCTCCCGCGCGTGAACAGCGGATGGAGCAGATGCTCAGCACCTTCCAGTGTGACCTGAGCAGCATTAGCTGTGAGATCCAGACGCTACAGGAACAGTCCATCGCCATGAACATCAAGCTCAAGAACCGTCAGTCCGTCCGCAGTGAGCTAAGTCAGCTTGTTGATGAGCTGGTGGTGCCCAGCTCCATGATCAAGTGAGTCTCAATCAAGTCTCTGCCTCTGCTCTCTGACCTCCCAGCTGTTTCTATTAATAACAACTTACATTTAGTAGAGCGTTTCGCCCACAAACTACACAGTCAATCCAGTTTAGGATATATGTGGAGTCCTGTAGCGTAGCGCTTAGAGCACTCACAAGCGAGAGGATCTGGGTTTGACGAAACCTTAGGCAAGTTTTCTTACCCCACACGCCTCTGTTTACCCAGTAAGTAGGAACCCACCCGGTTGTTAGTCAACTGGTGGGGTAAAAACTCCTTCAAAAATATAACAATAATAATTTAGCCAATTAATCCATGACTTTTTGAGACGTTACTGTACACAATTGGCCGCCATGTTTTGCCCACAAGGGTCTTGAGACGGGCCTTGAAGAGAGCAAGGGAAGGGGTGACATGAAGGGACTTTGGGGTGGAGTTCCAAAGGGTGGAGGCAGCGAGGTCCCCCGATGGTAGGGCAGGCTGGGGTGGGGTTCGTAGAGCAGACCGGGGCCTGCTGAACGGAGGGAGCAGACAGGTCTATGTGGAGTTAACAGGTCACAGAGGTAAAGTCATGCTCTTTGTTGCATTTCAGTATCATTCTGGAATCACCAGTGACGGAGCAGGAATATCTGGAACAGCTTCATGAGCTCAACAACAAGATCAACTACGTGAAGGAGCAGTCTTTCAAGGAGACTTTGGCTTGCTCTGACGTGCAGGATATCCTCGACCGGCTCAAGATTAAGGTGAGCCTATAAACGCAAGCTGTGTCGTGCGCCCAAAAAACTCTTCCTCTATCCCCCTGCCTTGTCCCCTCCTTCCCCATTTTCAGGTCCGCCTGAAGACCTTCCTCTTGACCCACACTAAACTCCCTCTACGTCACACCATTCCTCTTGACCCACACTAAACTCCCTCCACGTCAGACCATTCCTCTTGACCCACACTAAACTCCCTCCAAGTCACACCATTCCTCGTCAGGCTCCACTGGCTCTTTAGCACAGAATGGATCGAATTTGAAATCCTCTCGTCTACCAATCCCTGCATACCCTTGCACCTCCCTACCGCTCCGACCTGCTTGCTCCCCACTCCACCGCCTGTTCGCTGCCACTGCTCGGCTGGCTCTGGCCTCCTGCTTGTCCCTCGTCCCATCCACTCCACTATCGGTGGCCACTCTTTCAGCAACTATGCCCCAAAGCTTTGAAACTCTCTCCCCCCACCTTGCACCCTCCTTACTCTCTCTTATACCACGGCTGAAGACCTTCTTCTTCGAATGTGCTTACAGGCACCTCACCCCCGGCTCAGCATCAGGCTATGCCAGTGTTAAGCGTCTTGAAACGCTGCCCACGTGAAAGGCGCTATGTCAATGCAAGTTGCTGTTGTTGTTGTTGGCTCAGTTGGTAGTCAAAGGGTGTGGGTAAAAATCCACATGGGGACTTTGAGGTCACAGACTCCAGTGAAGGGAGCCCTGAATTGGCAGAGTTGCCACTCCTTTGGGTGTGATGTTAAACCGAGCTCCCGTCTGTGCCTGTTTAGGCGGACAATAAAGATCACAACACCGCTACATTCCCCCGGATAAGGTTGGTCACTCACTTCACGGCGGTTCAGCCACTGCACCTGAGGCTCGTTGTGCTGTGAGACGTCTCAATGACGCGATAAGGTGTTATACCAAATGCAAGGATTATTATTACTGTATTTAAACGTTTGATCTTGTTTCAGGCCGTCACAAAGATCCGGGAGTTCATCCTCCACAAAATCTATTCTTTTCGCAAACCCATGACCAACTACCAGGTTCCTCAGAACGCACTCCTGAAATACAGGTCAAATTTACTTTTGGTATCTGTAATATAATAGTGTTCGTGTTTCCCAGCTTTTAATTCCTTTCCTTGTGTATGACTTGTACACTACAAATTTACACAGCGTTAAATTGTAAAAATCAAAACAACTCTTTTCAGAGCGGTCCAACTGGCGGCCCGCGGGCCACATCCGGCCCCCTCCGCTTCCTGCATTTCATCTGGCCAGTCCGCTCCCTCCATAACCTGTAAAGGTTACGTTTCTGGAAGGAACCAGAAAAAATATTGCTCGTGGGTCCCACGGACTTTTCTCAAATCCGGCCCTCAGCAGCCCAAAAGGTTGGACCCCCCCCCCCCCATTGGTTTAAATTATAAAGCTATAAAATCTAAACGTAAACAATTTCTTACTCCACACGCCTCTGTTTACTGTGGTTGTTAGTCGATTGGCAGATAGCTTTCCTTCAAAAATAGACCAATAATAATTGGGTCAGTCAATCCACGACTGTATGTGGGACACTGCTGTGCGCAATTGGCTGCCACCTTTCGCCCACAAAATTGTCACTCCATTTTTCAGTGTATTCTGTGAAGCACTTTGAGAAGTCTCGACGTGATGAGGCACTGTGTCGAACGCAAGGCTTGTCATTGCGTTGGAGGCATGAGTAAGGATCAGCCGAGCATTGAACAGAGCGCGTGGCATCTTGATCTGACTGTCCTTCTCGCTTTTCAGATTTTTCTACCAGTTTCTCATGGCGAACGAGCGTCACGTAGCGAAGGAGATCCGGGATGAATACGTGGACACCATGAGCAAAATCTACTTCTCCTACTTCAAATCCTACACTAGCAGACTGATGAAAGTGCAGGTCAGATGTTTGGTGACGTTATACTGTGATCAATCAGCCATTTCCTTGTGTTTCTCCTTGTCCCTCGTCCCCTCCATTCTATCTTCGGCGGCCATACTTTCAGCCACTAGACCCTGAAGTTTCTCCCCCAATCCTTCCGCCTTGCCCCCGATCTCCCCTCCTTTAGATCATGAGTGAAGATGTTCCTCTTCAACCATGCTTACAGTCACCTCCCCTCCCTCCCCCGCTGGTCCGGCTTTGGGCTCCGCCACTGAAGCGCTCCGAGTTTCTAGCCTGCGCGAAGGGTGCTGTGTAAATGCAAGTTGTTGTTGTGGTTCCTCTTGCAGTAACCTACCTCACTGTGCCCTGTTCCGCAGTATGAAGAGGTGGCTGACAAAGACGACCTGATGGGTGTTGAAGACACAGCAAAGAAAGATATCCTTCCCCAGATTCTACAGTAAACCGCACACAAGTCATATCAGTTGGAACCATACATTTAGTATGACTTGTGCAAAGTATGTGTTGTGTCAGACTTACGCTGAGTGTAACGGGACTCGGGCAAATGTACGACTTAGGTGATTATATGATTTTTTTTTACTGAATTACGGTATTCCAAAGAATCTTATTGTAAGGCAGTAAGAGTCAATCTCTTCCCCCACCACCACCACCATCTCCCTCCGCTCCTTTTGGCTGCGGAGGGCTTTGAAGACGGAAATATAAGTTGTCATTGTTGCATTGTCTCATTTAATAATAATAATAATCCTTGCATTTGATATAGCGCTCTTCACGTCGGGAGGACGTCCCAAAGCGCTTCACAGAACACACTGCAAAGTGAATTGACTGTATATTTGTGGGCGAACGCGGCAGCCAATTGCCCACAGCAATGTCCCACAAACAGTCGTAGATTGAAAATGACCAATTTATTATTGTTTTTGGTTTGGGATGGATTATTATTAGGCTCTGTGTGGAGTAAGGAAACTTGCCCGAGGTTTAAGTTGCCATATCAAATAGCCGAGCCTCACTATTCCTCTGTGACTACAACTTAACATTGGGAACCTGCTGAGGAAGGTAAAGGTGACCTGGAAACAGAGTGTGAGGCAGGAGTCCACAACTTACTGCAATGATTTCTGTTGTGAGTGGAACTCAGGCGTGTGTGTTTTCTTTTCAAGAGCAAAGGATGCATTTCTCCTTAACCCCTTACGCTTTTTCTCCAAACCGTCGCTGAAAAACCGCAACACCATCTTCACGCTGGGGAACCGGGGGAATGTGATCGCGTCCGCTGAGCTGGAGGGTCCCATCATCGTCCCTCATGCAGCGCAGAAGAACGACTCGCGGGTAACGCAGGGAATTTCTCTGGCGATTGCGTGTCGTCAAGTAGTCAGTGGGGAGAGGGGTGATAGTGATGTATAATAATTCTTGCATTTGATGCAGCACTTCATCACGGTCTTCGAGACGTCTCAAAGCGCTTCATAGAGTTGTTGCTGGCGCTCCGATGCAGCGCTGTGCGCATTTGGCTGCCGCGTTTCATACACAAAGCACAGTCGATTCGCTTTATAGTATATTCTGTGGAACGCTTTGTGACGTCTCAACAGCGCGATAAAGCGCTTTATCAAATGCAAGGATTATTATTATTGTGTTGACTGTTCTCGCTGCTGACAGCCGTTCTCCTCTGCCCTCCAGTACCCGTTTGAGAGTCTGTTCCGTAGCCAGCACTACGCCCTGCTCGACAACAGCTGCCGGGAATACCTCTTCCTCTGTGACTTCTTCATGGTGACGGGCAACTCGGCACAGGACCTCTTCAACGCCATCATGGGCAAAACCCTCACCATGTTCCTGGTGACTGTGCCATCCAGTCGAGGGATCCTATGTGTGGGGGTGGGGGGGGGAGGGAGGGCGAGGGAGGACTGTTTCTCTTCAAGGAGTGATGCTGGGTCAAGCAGATTATTATTATTAATTTGATATTAGATTTATTTATTTAATATTTGATATATATTTGCTTTGAGGCGACTTTCGAAGACGTGATAAGGCGCTATAATCAGATGTAAATATTACATAGAGCTTTATCATGTCATTAAGACATCTCAAAGCACTTCACATTCACATAATATACTGTAAAGTGGAGTGATTTTGTGGGTGCAACACGGCAGCCAGTCGCGCTCAGCAGTGTCCCACAAAGCCACGGATTAAGTGACTAAATTATTCTTATTTATTTTGAGGGGGATTATTACCTAGTGGAAAGCGATCCGCTAATCGACCTAACATTTGGGTTCCTACTTACTGCTAGGTAAACAGGCACGTGGAGTAGGGAAAGTCGCCTAAGGTTTCGCCCCTCCAGGGAATCGAACCCAGATCCTCTCGCTTGTGAGCTGAGTGCTCAGATGCACATTGTCGAAGATGTAGATCCTACCTACGTCCAAGATAATATATTATGTCAGAATAGAGCTGAGTTAAGGGGTTTTATGAGAGGGATTCTTAATGGGACCCACACCTGAGGCATTGCAGTCGGGTGATTGTGTTATAATGGGGGGAGGAATGCCACGTTTCACCCACAAATCATACAGTGAAGCGCTTTGAGAGGTCTCAATGATGTGATAAGACGTTGTATCGAATGCAAGGATTATTATTCCGTCAGGATTGCAGGATAAAAGCCCTCTTGTTCCTTTGCTTTAGAAACACATGGACAATTACGTGGCGGATTGCTTTGACAGCATCGCTATATTCCTCTGCATTCACGTCATCCTCCGCTTCAAAACCATCATGGCCAAGAGAAACATCCCGTCAGTCGATAGGTGAGTGGAGTCAACGGGAAAGGTTTACAACATTTGTTTTTAAAAACACAATGGCCGACTTTTGGGTCATCGGCTGCCGCTGATGTCACTTACTACCAGCTGAGCGTATGTAACATATGCCGCTGATCATTACTGATGCGCGCAGGGTCCGCAAAGTGGCATTAGTGGCGCTTCCTGCCGTGCAGGAAAGTGACGTCAGTGGTGACCCAGAGGGAAGGAAGGTAGAGGAGATCTCCCCCTGTGTTTATAGCTGGTTCACCCCCTATCCTCCAAAATGGAGGGACAATCACTTAGACCTGGTGAGAATTATTTAGCAGAGACTGTGAGTTAAGGCTGGGGTGTGTGTATCGAATGGAGNCCCCCTCAGTGTATGATGAGGATAACTGCTGTAGTTTGACCAGTTAAGGCCACTTTCCCAATGCTAAAGGCAGCAGAAGAGAGTTTGAGTTGATGACTGTGATCTTTTCAGGTACTGGGGCACACTGCTGGATATCCTGTGGCCAAGGTTTGAACATGTCCTGGAGTTAAACATTCAGAGCATCCGCAACACCGACCCTCAGAAGCTCGGGGCACTGGACACTCGGCCACACTATGTAAGGGCTCTCTTTAGTTCGCACCCTGGTGTCTGTTTCTAAAGGTTGGGTTTTCAATTGAGGGTAGAGGCTTCACCATCAGCAATAGCGCCTACAGTCTTTCTGCTCCCAACCTCTGGAACTCCAGCCCACAGTCCATTCACCTTGCTCTCTCCCTTGAAGACCCAACTCAAGACCTCCTCTTCGACTAGAGAGCCTTCGGTCGCTCTGGTATCCCTGCCTCCACCCTTCCTGATCCCAACCCCCAGCTCGGATCCAAATCCTTGGGACTTTGGATTCAGCCTTGGGACGTGTGAAGGTCTTCAGACGCAATCAGAAGATGGGGAAGAAAGGGGCAAGACGGGGGGATTGAGGAGAGTGTTGGACAGTTTTGGGGCTCAAAGCCCAGCCACCGATGGTGGAATTGAGACCACGAAGGACAAGCAAGAGGTTCGGAGCCCGCCAGGTAGAGGCACCGTCTAAGAGGTAAGCAGGTCAGAGAGGTAGAGAAGTTGCCAGGGCATGAAGGGATTTGAAGATGAGCGTGAGGATAAGGCGCGAGATCAAATGTAAGGATGATGATTATTATTAAGTTGTTTCTTCTCCAGGTCACCAGAAGATACGCCGAATTTTCATCAGCAATTGTCAGCATTAATGAAACCTATCCCAACGAGAAGACTCACTCATTACTTGGACAACTGCAGGTCTGTGGCAAGTTATGTTAAACTGAGGTCCTGCCTGACCCTGTTCAGGTGGCTCCACTGAATCATAGCATCTTAGAGCATAGAAGGAGGCCTAAGGTTTTGCCCCGCAGGGACTCAAACTGGGGTCCTCTCGCTTGTGAGGCATGTTAACCATTACGCTGCTGGGCTCTCCTTGATAGTGAGAGCGCCTGGCATGGAACAAAGGTTGTTATTATTAGTATAAGTTCCATGTGAAACGCAATGAGGATTTGCATTTACATGGTGGTGAGGGGGTTGTGTGTTCGTGCACCTCGTGTCCCTCTGTGGCGGCTGACGTGTGGGTGGTGAAGAGAGGGAGGTCTCCCAGTGACGGCTCTGTCTCTCACTCAGGTAGAAGTGGAGAATTTCGTCCTGCGAATGGCTGCCGAGTTTGCTTCCCGGCGGGAACAGCTCATCTTCCTGATCAACAACTACGACATGATGTTGGGCGTCTTGATGGTGAGTCCGGTCATTCGCCTTCACCGGGGGTTTGTGGGGGTGCGAAACAGGAGAAGGTGGCAGAGGGGAAGTGACCTTAAATTGGATTTTTTTTTTTTGGTCAGCCTGACACACACAGAAACCCGTCGCCGGGTGTCTGACGCTCGCGGAAACACATCACCGCGATCAGCCGGGTGTCCGAAACACGGAAACCCATCACCGTGCTTAAGAGCATCCAAACCAAGCTGAGATTTCCATGCATCCCACCTACGTGTAGAAATCCCAGAGATAGATCGTTGGAATGGAACGTGCACTCCTGCTTAATTAATTCCGGAGAGTAATGGCGCAGGTTGCAAAGAGCCAAGGCTTGGAAGGACCCCAGAGTGAGTGTTGGCGTAACTGCTGGAGTCTGACCAGCTAAAATAACATAATTTGCCATTGAAAGCTTGAGTGCCCTGGAATAATATGGACCCTATAGACCCGCCGAGCTTAGGAACCGGACTAGAAACCGTCACAGAGGGCTGGCTCGATTCCGACAATCTCTTGCGAAGCATGTCATCTTGAAGCCGGTCCATTTCCCAGGAGATTCTGCTTGCCTTGCCCCTGCCCCTCCACCCCCACCTCCCCCCTCCACCCAAGGAGGATACTCAAGCCAAACCCTAAACTGAGTACCAAACTGTTTTTCTCCTGCACAGGAGAGGGCCACGGACGACAGTAAAGAGGTGGAAAGCTTCCAACAGCTTCTCGGGGCCAGGAACCAGGTCAGTGATTTCATACCCTCTTCCCCACAGCTTTGCTCATCTAACAACTTGTGTATATGAGTGGAAGCCGCCTTTACCAGTCGCCGGTTAAACTAAACGAAATGCCCAGCCCCGATTCATTTGGGTTCTTGCCCGCTTTAAATCTGCCTATTAATTCGGACAAAAATTTGGTTACTCCGGACAAAATGGTGGCCGCTGAATCTATTCGCTCGCGACTTCCGGTGTGACTCAGCGGCTCCAGGATGGAGATGGGTGCAGTCCAAGATTGATTGACAGCAGACTCCAGCCAGTCACATGCAGCTCCAGGCTGTCAATCAGTGAAGGAGCGGAGAAGGATAAGGGGGCAAGTCAAATCATGGTTGATTGACGGGCTGGAGCTGCTTGTGATTGGCGGACCCGCCTCCGCTCTCCTGGTGAGCGGGAAGAGGTACATTGGTTAACCTCAGACGCTGCTTAAGCCGGACATGGCTGCCCCTTGTGTGTCCGTCTTAAGTGGCTTCCGCTGTATCCAGATAATATTTCAGATACTTGGCCTCGGAGGAGGGCACACTAAATCTTACGTCAAGACCGGGCCTGGGCTGTGAACGGAAACGAGGACTAATCCCATTTGCCCTCTCCAGGAGTTTATCGAAGAGATTCTGTCTCCGCCTTTTGGGGGAATGATCGCCTTTGTGAAGGAAGCGGAGGTTCTGATAGAAAAGGGCAACATTGAGAAGCTGAAAGCAGAGGAAGGTAAGATTGTGGGGCGGTGTCTCGCCTCTGGTCCATGTAATGTTTACATCGCAGAACCAGGCCATTCAGCCCATCAGGTCTGTGCTTCACCACTCAGGCAACCCACAATAATATAATAGTCATTTAATAATAACAGTAAATTGACTGTATATTTTGTGGGCGAAACGTGACAATGACTCACAAACAGTCGTGGATTGAGTGACCAAATTATTATTATTTCTAATAATTGCGACACGAGGGTGAATAAGAGTGTGTTAGCGACTAAGCTGGGCTGAGACCTACAACTAAGCTTATACCTAATCCTGACTCAGACATAGGCCGTGAATACAACAACAAGGTTACATAACGTCTTTCATGTCGGGAGGACGTCCTAATGTACAGCATTTCAGACCCGAGCAGGGGTCGGGGCGGGGGGGGAGAGGGGAGGGGAAGGGGGTGACCGATCGCATGGTCGAAAAGAAGGTTTTTTCAGGCGGGACTTGAAGGAGGCTAACGGGGGTGAGGTGGAGTAATTGAATAATTAAAATTAATTAAAGTGAATTGAAATGAATACAACAAGAAATTCCATTTAAACAACGCCTTTCACGTCGGGAAGAAGTCCCGAGGCGCTGGACAGGCAGGGACTTGGACCCGAGCAGCGGGTTGGGATCAGGGAGGGTAGGGGTAGGAGGGAAGGCGCGGTTGAAGTGGAGCGTCTTGAGACTGGCTTTGAAGGAGGCAAGAGAGGGGGGGAGGCGGAGGGACTGTGGGATGGAGTTCGGAGGTTGGGGGCAGAGAGGCTGATGAAGGGGGACACGGAGCCTGCCGGAGCGAACAAGGTCGATATAGTTAGCCACAGCAACAAAATTACATGTGTCATCAGGAGGATGTCCCAAGGCGCTGGACAGACAGTTTACGGACCTGAGCTGAGGATCGGGGTGGGGGAGGGCAGGTGGGGAAGCAGGAAAATCGAAAGCACGGTCGAAGAAGTGGGCCTTGAAGGTGACGAAGGAGGGGGCGAGACGGAGGGACTGCGGAATGGAGTTCCGGAGGGTGGGGCAGAGTGGCGGAAAGCCCGCCCGCCGATAGTGGCGCGAGCAAGGCATGAAACAGGCCGGAGCCCGCTGAGCAGAGGGAGCGAACAGGGTGGTAGGGGGTTAGGAGATCGGAGAGGTAGGGGGGGGAGCAAGACTGAAGGACCAGGATCTTGAACTGTATCCTGTGTGTGATGGGAAGCCAGTGGAGATGGGTGAGGATAGGGTCCCGGAGCCGAGCGCAGGAGAGGACACGGGCTGCAGAGTTCTGGACGATCTGCAGCCTGTGGAGGGAGGAGTTGGGGAGGGAGAGAGGTAGTGAGTTTGCACAGTCGAGCCTCGATGCAGATCACAGAGGTAGGAAGGAGCAAGGGCTTTGAAGGCGAGGACGAAATATATCGATACTTTTAAATACTGCACATTTTAAACTTCCTCCTCTGTCTGTTTGTTTCTCGCGTGGCTCAGGCCGGGTTGTGCAGTTAGTTCGGGGCTTTGCGGCCACCTGGAAGCAGGCAGTAGAGAATCTCAGTCAAGACGTCATGAGATCTTTCACCAACTTCAAGAACGGGACAGGAATCATACAGGTAATCATTCCAATCCTTTCTGGGTGTATTGTAGCAAGAGCCAGGGGGCTCTGTGCGATTACGTGTCGCTGTTGACGACAAAGCATTGCTCTTGAGGCTGTGCTCCATTCAAGGCGGAGAGAATACAGGAAGAACGCACCAGAGTTTCGGGGCGTAGTGGTCGAAAGAGCCGCCACTAATGGTGGAACGGAGGGCACGGGGCACACGCAGAAAGCCACAGCCAGTCGTCGGAGACAGTGGGCTGTGGGGTAAGCGGGTCGGAGAGGTAGGGAGGGGCGAGAGTGCGAAGGGATTTGAAGACGAACGTGAGGATCTTGAAATTGATCTGTTGGGCGATAGGGAGCCAGTGAAGCCCGGCTAGAATTGTTTGAAGGGGGTACGGAGTTTAAGGTGTGATAGGGAGCCAGTGGAGCCCGGCTAGAACTGGTGTGAAGGGGGTACTGAGTTTAGTACGAGTGAGGATGTGGGCTGTGCCGTTTTGGATTAAGTGGATTTTATGGACGGTGGAGCTGGGGAGACCGGCGAGGGGGGCATGGAATAATTATACGGCTCAGACTTACATTACTGTGTTTGCAGGGAGCTCTGACCCAGCTCATCCAATACTATCACCGTTTCCACAAGGTCCTCTCTCAGCCGCCCTTCAAGAGCCTGGTGGTGAGGTCTGAGCTCATTAACATCCACCACCTTATGGTGGAGGTCAAAAAGCACAAGCCCAACTTCTAGAGGCCATGAGGGGTCTGTTCACCAACATCAGGACTGTCCATGGTAGGTCTCGGGGATAAAACAGAACTAAGTTGCTGTGACGGTTTACTGTGTGGGTCAGTGTGTATCCTCGTGGGCGGGTTTCACCGCTCCTTTATCCGCGGAGCGCTGATGTTCAGCCTGGGAGCGAGTGTAGCCCCTGACTGTACAGGTTCTCTACTCTCCAAGGCCTCTGTTAGAATATGTCAAACCTTGTTTTAAATTAAACGGTTTGTGGTGAAGAAAATGCCTCCAATTGTTGTGTTGTCCTCGCGAGCGAGAGGACCCGGGTTCGAGTCCACAGACAGAGCAAAACCTTAGGCAAGTTAACTTACTCCGCACCACACGCCTCTGTTTATCCAACAGCTCATAGGAATCCAGTTGTTAAGTCGATTGGTGGATTTTTTAATCACATCTTCAGCCGGTCTTGAAGTGAATTGACCATATATTTTGTTAGTAAAACGCGGCTGCCAATTGTGCACACCAGTGTGGGTTGAGTGACTAAATTATTATTACTTTTTATTTGTTAGGATTCTTACCCCCGGAAGAAGAATCTTCCAATCGAATTACAACCCGTTTCCTACTTAATAATAATAATAATCCTTGCATTTGATGGAGCGCTTTTCACGTCGGGAGAGGACGTCCCAAAGCGCATCACAGAACACACTGTAAAGTGAATTGACTGTATATTTGTGGGCGAACGCGGCAGCCAATTGCGCACAGCAATGTCCCACAAACAGTCGTGGACTGAAAATGACCAATTTATTATTGTTTTTGGTTTTGGAGGGATTATTATTAGGAGTGTGGAGTAAGGAAACTTGCCCGAGGTTTCGCCCTGACCGGCCTGGAATTGAACTCGGGTCTCTCGCTTGCAAAGCGAGTGCTCTAACCACTGAGCTACTTACTGCTAGGGAAACAAGAGGCATGTGGGGTAAGGAAACTAGCTAATGTCAGTGATTTTACACAAGCTCGTTAATTGCTTTTAATTCCAACTGATAAATGTATACATCAGTGCATAGCCATTAAAAAGAACTATTAAGCAAAATAACATAAACGGTACAATTCAGATTTCTATTCTCTTCACAATACAGAAACAATTAGGAGCTTTACACTCAACACAGAGCCTTATTGTGACTGAGACATCCCAGAATATGCTTGTGCCGTGTATTTACTTGGCTAGCATGGCAGCCAATTTTACACACAGGAACATCTCGCAAACAGACTACAAGTGGGTCCATCTTAAATTCCCCACGGATTCAACGAAATAAAACTATAATTTTCGGATTTCAAACACCAAATAATAATAATAATCCTTGCATTTGATATAGCGCTTTTCACGTCGGGAGGACGTCCCAAAGCGCTTCACAGAACACACTGTAAAGTGAATCGACTGTATATTTGTGGGCGAACGCGGCAGCCAATTGCGCACAGCAATGTCCCACAGACAGTCGTAGATTGAAAATGACCAATTTATTATTGTTTTGCTTTTTTGGAGGGATTATTATCCAAGATATTCAAGCTCACAGAGACTGCTGCCCTTTACAAAGAATGTATATAGCAATGATGGTTGTTAGCAGTAAAGTAAAATTGCCAATCTGCCCACAAAATACAGTCGCTCCACTTTACTGCGAAGCGCTTTGAGACATCTCGAAGTTGTGGTAAGGCGCTGTATCAAATGCAAACATTTTTATAAGATAGTTATTTCACTTGTGCTTGTAAAAAGATAACTCTTCCCCCCCCCCCCCCTCCCACCCCCCCCACCCCGGTACAAAAATAAAAAATGACAATATTGTTGCATAATTAGAATTTCAAAAATTGTTAACTCAATACAAACCACATGAAAAAATTGTTAACTCATTACAAACAGAAAGTAGGCGTTAGATTTTGGAAGGGCGGATGCACATTCAAAAGCTGACTATGTTAATTATGTTGAGCGGTGTACGGTTGTCTTTTAAGAAAGCTCCTACTACAGAGAAAATGCAACTAAATCGGAATAGGAATTTGAATGGAATATAAAGAAGTTTTTGTGTCTATTGTATAGAGTCTATCTAACCAAAACTTGGCAAGAGTTAATATATGGATACCTCACGCGAAGTACAGTTCACCAGAATCCTTCAACCGAAAGCGGGGGCAAAGATGTATTCGGTTCTTTGGTGCAGACTTAGACTTAGCTTGTCCAAAGGACGGCAACTCAAACATATGCAGCGCACTTCCCAGCTCTGCGCTGGAGCATCAGTCTAGACCAAGGAGATCCAATGGCTGCTGAGGGCCGGATGCCCTGTTCGAGAATCACCTGCTGGCCGCATAAGCAATAAGTGTTTCCCTTCCAGAAACGTAGCGTTTAACATTTACAGGTTATCGAGGGAGCGGGTGGGCCGGACGAAATGGAGGCGGGGGGCCGCATTGGGCCTCGGGCCAACAGTTAGACCAACCTGATCTAGACCGGTCATTGATGTGCGGAAGGGAGACAGACATCGGATGGTACGGGTGGTGGTGGGGGTTGGGGGAGATGGAGAAGAGTAGAGCGGGCCAGTTCAGGTCCTTGGGGCCAGTTCAGGTCCAAGGAGGCCCCACGTATTTGTAGATACAAGCTGTCAGTTGTGAGGTGTGTATGATGAAACCACTACGCTGTCCGAGCGTAATATACTTTTGCATTGCTTAAGCAATTTCTCTGCAAAGGGAAAGAGACAAAAGTTAAATTCCCTCGTAGTTACATACCAACTACTGAATTCTGGACAGCGTTAGGCACAGGTTGGCGAGAGGCAAGGCTGGGGGGGGGAGGGGGTGGAGACCCCAGAGTGTGTGCTGTGAGGGTGTAACTCACTTCACGGCCTGGCACCTCCCCATCTCTGTGAGCTGCTTCCACCTCACTTCACTACCCACCACCTTTGCTCAGCTGGCTTCCACCTCCTTCCTGTCCCTCGTCCTCTCCCTTCCACCAGGGAGGGGAGCAAAGGCACCATCAAAAAGTAACAATATCTATATCGTGCCCCTCACTGTCGTGTTTGACAGTGGTGGAGCGGGACACCGAGCCTGGGGTGGAGAAGGTAACAGCAAGTATTGTCGAAGAGGAAGGTCACTTCAGGTGTGATCTGAAGATGGGGAAGGGGGCAAGGCGGAGGAATAGAGGGAGATTGTGCCAGAGATTTGGGGCATAGTGGCTGAAAACGCAGCCACAGATAATAGAAGAGGGCACGATGGACAAGCAGGTGGTCGGAGCCGGTCGAGTGAGTGGAGCCAGCGGGTTGAGGGTAAGTAGACCCGAGAGGTAGGGAGGTGCCAAGGCATGAAGGGATTTGAAGATGAGCGTGAGGATCGATCTGTTCAGTGACAGGGAGCCAGTGGAGCCTGGCTAAAAACCCATCGAAGTGGAGGGTCTTGAGACATGCCTTAAAAGAGGCAAAGAAGAGAGCGAGTCAGAGGGACTGTGCGATAGACTTCCAAAGGGTGGGGCAGAGAGGCTGAAAGCCTGACCGCTGATGGTGTGGCGGGCAGGGTGAGGGACACGTGGAGCAAGCCGGAGCCCGCTGAGCGGAGGGAGCGGACAGGGAATGCACAGTGAACCCAGAGCTCTCTGAATCCAGGCAGGAGCAGGACTTACTTTGCCTAATGTGGCTACGCCAAAGAAGTAGTGCTAGTGCTATTACTGTTGCTAAACCACCAATAAGCACAACGATAAAGGCCGTCTTGAAATTCCCGTCATCTTTCCTGTCATTGATGCTGTATTGGAATTGATCTGCATAGAGAGGGGAGGAGTGGAGAGGTTGGTAGTCAGTTTCTGGAGTAGAATTTACTTAATAATAATAATGCTTACATTTGATATAGCGCTTGAGACGACTCAAAGCACCTCGGAGAATATTATGTATCGTGTAGAGATTGTACGTTTTGTGGGTGAAACGCAGCAGCCAATTGCGCTCAACGGTGTCTCATAAACAGTCGGGGATTGAGAGACCGAATTTTTATTAGTTTTATATTTTTGAAGGGATTATTAATCCCAGAAAAGCAACTAAAAACCTGGTTCCTATTTACTGCTGGGCAGACAGAAACTTGCCGGGATTTGAACACACTTTGCAAGTGCTCTAACCACCAAGCTACAGAACTCCACTCATTATCAATAATAAAGCTTGCATTTGATATAGAGACTTGTCACGTGATTGAGACGTCTAAAAGCGCTTCACAGGATACACTGTAAAGAGAATCGACTGTATATTTTGTGGGTGACACAAAATATAGCCAGTTGCGTACAGCAGTTTCCCACACCCAGTCGTGGATTGAGTGACCAAATGATTTTTTTTTTGTAGGATTATTACCGCGAAAAAGCGATCCGCCAATTGCCTCACAACTGGGATCCTACTTACTGCTACATAAACATAGGCGTGTGCGTGGGGTACGGAAACTTTCCTAAGGTTTCGCCAAGCCGGGGAATTGAACCCAGGTCCTCCCACTTGCCAGGCGAGCGCACTAACCGCTGAGCTACAGACTCTACAATAAAGAGAGTTTCTCAAACAGACCTGATAATTGGAAGGCGACGTGTTTCTCTGATCTCAGGAGTTGGTTGTTGATGACGCACACAACTTTGTGGTGAGCGTCTTTCTTCAGCCGAATAATTCTCTCCACACGATAAAAACCTTCGTCCGAACGCTCAACCCTCGGAGCATCAGTCAGCAATGGTAACTTATTCGTCTGCTCGTCAAACCACTCCACACTGGGCTTTGGGTGCCACCTCTCAGACACACACTTCAGCAACACATCCTCGGAGCTGAGATCGATCAGTTTGATAAATGGCTGCTGGCCGACGGCTGCGGAAATTAAAGGAAAACTTCAGAAAACGTGTTGCGGAGGTCCAGCAAACCCCAACCCAAATGCTTAATAATTACTTGGTCACTCAATCCACGACTGACTGTGGGGAAACTGCTGTACCCATTTATCTGCCATGTTTCGTCCACAAAATACATAGTAAATTCACCTTACAGTATATCCTGTGAAGCCCTTTGAGACTTTTCAGTGGCGTGATAGGCTGCTATAATCAAATGTTATGTCAGATTATTATTATTGTACGCTCAGCCCCAAGGAGACGGCAATAATAATATTCCTTGCATTTCATATAGCAACTCATCATGTCTTCGAGATGTCTCAAAGGATATACCGTAAGGCGACTTGACTGTGTATATTGTATGCAAATGCGGCAGCCGATTTTGCACAGAGATGTTCCACAAACAGTCGTGACCAAAGAAGGCGCTGGACAGTCAAGGATTTGCACACGAGCTGGGAGTTGGGATCAGGATGGGTGGAGGGCAAGGAGGGTGGGGTCAGAAGGGTGAACGAAGGCAGGGTCAAAGAGAAAGGAGAATTTATCTCACATCCCCAAGAACAAGTCGGTTGCTCTGACCCTCCCCCTCAATAAGGACAGGGAATCCTCCCACTCAGTTCCTGTTAACCCTGAAAGCTTAAGGTCTCCAGAATTAGGTCAGCGGGGTGTGACCCTCCAGGGAGAGAGAGCGCATTTCATTCCAACAATCTATTCTCCGGGTATTTCCGTGTGTAGGTGGGATGCGTGGAATTCTCATCTTGGTCGGGAGACCCTTGAGCGCGGTGACGGGTTTCCGCGGGCGACGGACACCCGGCTGACCAAAAAAAAAAGAGTTAAGTCAAGAACAAGACAAGAAGCTTTCTCTCACCTCCAATTTTCAGGGTAACAGGCGAAGTCAGGGTTTTGTTGAATTGGTTCACTGAGCAATAATACGTTCCCTCGTCCTTCACAGTCAGGTTCTTTAGCAACAGGGACATTTTTCCGGCAGTGAACGACGCTGTGAACAGGCTTGTTCTCTGGAAGTAATCCGGATCCTGTCTTTGGAGCTGGTCCCTCCCGTCTCTGTACAAATGGACCGGACGCTCGCGACTGGATCTGAACCATTGCACCACAATGTCGGCCGCCACCTTCCGGGGCGACAGCTGGCATTCCAGGACTATCTCCTTACCCACCGTGCCCACCATATCGTACCCCGGGGTGGCCAATATGGGTTCTTCTTCATCATCATCTGGAGGATGTACAAACAGAGGAGCCCGTGAGTGAGAGAGAGAGGCCATTCGGCCCATTGAGTCTCTGCTGGTGTTAATCCTATCCCCCTGCTCTCTCTCCCCCTCGTGGTGCTCACTTTCCACTCCATCCTGGAGCTCTCGACTCTAACCCTATTCACCTGCTCTTTCCCCCTCACCCTCATTGTGTCTGTGCTGGTTCTCAGCCCCCAAACCCACACCCCCACACTGGACGCTCTACTCTAACCCAAATCCCCTGCTCTACACCACAGAAATATTAAAATGTTACTTGATATTAATATATAAAGCATTTTCAGCTCTTTACATCCAGAAACTTTTCAACATCAGGTGAACGTATTTAAAAATATAACAACAAAAGATTACATTTACACAGTGCATTTCACATCGGGAGGATGTCCCAAGGGGCTGGACTTTCAGGGATTTGAACCCGAGCAGTGGCTTGGGATCTGGAGGGGTGGAGGGCAGGGAGGACGGGGGAAGGAGGGTGACTGAAGGCACAGTCTCAAAGAAGAAGGTCTTAGGACGTTCCACGATGGAGGTAAGAGATGGAGCGAGGCGGGATGGAGTTCCAAAGGGTATTTGCATTAACCTTTCCTTTCGACAATAAAAGCCTTGCATTTGACGCAGCATCTTTCATGGCAAGGGGATGTCTCAAAGCGTTTCGCAGCCTCTGCTGTAAAGTGTAGTAAGTGTAGTGCAATTCCTAAGCCGGGTTTGCCAGATGAATCGGGCGAGGGGTGTGGGGGGCCGGATGTGGCCCGCGGGCCGGCAGTTGGACCACTCTGTTCTAGGTGAATGCAGTGGCCCAGTCACTTACAGTAACTTCCCGATGACTTAAATGGTAGTGACTAGTTAAGCCAGTTTAACGTGGTCATAATCTTGATTATTTTAATATTTACTTGAATATTTTACGGGAAAACGTACGCAGTGTCATATAACGGAAGGACTATTATCATTATTATTTCCTCTCCACCCCAAGGCTGACGTCTCACCAGAAGCTGAAGCTCTGCTCAGAAGGACGATGAGAAAGCAGTATTTTAGTCCCATTGTTGAAAGCTTCACTGCTGCTATTTTCAGTGCGTTCATTACCAGATAAAGCTGTAACAAACAAGAGACATGGAGTTATAGCGCGCACTAAAACCTCTGCTGTGATAATAATATAATTATAATCCTTGCATTTGATATATGGCCTTATCACGTCTTCAAGTGCTTCAAGGCGGGCAATACACGGCAGTCAATTGCGCACGGCAGTGTCCCACAAACAACTGTGGATTAAATATACACATATTTTGAATATATATATGTATATATCAAAGCAGTAAGAGCCCCAAATAATCATAATGTGGTCAACTCAATCCACGACCGTTCGCTGGACACTGCTGTACACAATTCGCTCCCGAATGTCGCCCAGAAAAGAAAAGTCACTAAACACATTTACGATATATTCCGCGAAGAGCTTTGAGAGACGTAATGAGGCCCTGTATAAAGTTTCAAGGATCGTTAAAACAAACGGCCCGTTTCTGTGCATTGCCTAATTATTATTCATTTATTACGTTATCACTTATTTATCAATGCGCAATTATTGCAAACCCGCGGCCTGTTTCAGTGTATTACGGATCCGCAGCCTGTTTCGGTTTATCAGTTTAAACACAGACTCTTCCTGTTTCCTTACGATCTACTTACAAAAGTCACACGTAGGGTGCGGCTGCTCTGGTTGCACAACGTTTTGGCCTGAGGGGCGGTTCGTAACGCCCAGGGACCTCCAGAGGCTTGTGTGAGAGAGAAAGAGAGAGAGAGAGAGAGAGAGAGAGCGAGATGGAGAAAGGGTTAATGACCCTCCGATCTGGCGGTGGTGGGGAAGAGAGGGAAAGGGAACCACCTCTGACCTTCTCCGCACAAACAGCTCTCAAAACAGAAACCAACGCAGGCTCCGCTGTGCAGAGAGGGGAACGCCCCCACCCCTTGCAATAAAAAAAACACATGGCACAAGATTCGCTTTTCCAAATGCATCTCCCGGGAAATCGGGGGCAGACATGGCCGGAAGCGCACCCGCCCGCAGTAACAATGATAATCCTTGTGTTTGATATTCAACAACAACAACAGAATTACATTTGTAAAGCGCCTTTCGCGTCGGGAGGACGTCCCAAGGCACTGGACAGACAGGGTTACGGACCCGAGCTGGGAGTGGGGGGGGGGGGGGGGAACCGGGGCGGAGGAGCAATAATAATTTTCATTTATATAGTGCCCTCCATCCCAGGCAGTGGGGAAAAACAGGGAGATCGAAAGCCCAGTTGAAGAGGAGGGTCTTGAGGTGGGACTTGAAGGAGGCTTAAGGAGGGGGCGAGGCGGAGTGACCGGTGGGGGGGTGATGGAATTCCAGAGATTGGGGGGGCAGAGTGGCTGAAGGCTCTCCCGCCAATGGTGGGGCGGGTGGATTGGGGAACGCAGAGCAAGTCCGAGCCGATTGAGCAGAGGGAACGGGCGGGTTGGTAGGGGGTGAGGATGTCGCGGAGGTAGGGTGGGGGGAGGTACTGCACAACAACAACAACAACTTGCGCTTTTCCAATCGCCCGCCACGCAGGGCAGTGTCTCAGAACGCTTAGCAGCGGTGGAGCCTGACAGTGGTGGCTGTAAACACGGTCGAAGAGGAAGATTAGAGTTAGGGTTAGGCTGGACTTGAAACAGGGGAGAGAGGGGGCAAGACGGAGGGACTGAGGGAGAGCGTTCCAGAGCGTTTCGGGGCGTAGTGGCTGAAAGCCCAACCTCCGATGGTGGGCGGAGGGCGCGAAGGACGAGCAGGAGGCCGGTGCCAGTCGAATGGAGGTGCCGGGTGGTGGATCGGGGAGTGAGGATGTCGGAGAGATAGGGATGGGTACCAGAGAGTGAAGGGATTTGAACCCAAGTGTGAGGATCTTGAAGTCGATCCATTCGGTGATGAGGGGCCAGTGGAGCCCGGACCAGAACTGGTGAGATGTGGGGACGGAGTTTGGTCCGGATCAGTATGCAGCGGCAGAGTTCTGAATGAACTGGATCTCTTGAATAGTGGAGCTGCAGAGACCGGGCGAGGAGTGCGATGGAGTGTGCACGAGGGTTTCGGGTACGGTAGAATTGTGTGTCGGGGCGGGGGGGGGGGTGTGGGGGGTTTGGGATCAGGGAAGTTGGAGGGCAGGAGGATTCCCGAAGGCGCGGTTGAAGAGGAGGTGCCGTGAAAGAGGGCAAGGAGGAAGCAAGGCGAAGGGATTGTGGGGATGAAGTTCCAGAGGGTGGGGGGGGTAGGGAGCCTGAAGGCCGGACCACCGATGGCGGGTGGTATGGAACAGGTAGGGGTCTGCTGAGCGGAGGGCGTGGACAGGTTGATAAGGGGTTAGCAGGTCGGGGAGGTAGGAGGGGGGCAAGGCCATGGAGGGTCTTGAAAGCGAGGATGAGGATTCTGAACTGGATCCTCTGAGGGATGGGGAGCCCTCCGGGCGAGGAGGGGTAATGACGGGGGTCACAGAGCCTGATGCGGAGAGAGGACACGAGCTGCACAGTTCTGGATGATCTGCAGCTCGTGGAGATAAGCGTTGGGAAGGTCAGCTTCAAGACATCTCAAAGCGCTTCACGGAATATACTGTAAAGTGTAGCGACTGTGTGTTTTGTGGTCAAAGCACTGGCAGCCAATTGCGCAGAGCAGTGTGCCACAAACTCTCGTGGATTGAGTGACCAAGTTATTGTTTTTTTTGAAGGGATTATTTTCCCGTTAATTGACTAACAACCTGGTCGATAAACAGAGGCGTACGGGGTAAGGAAACTTGCCTCGGGTTTCAACCTGCCTGGGAATCGAACCTGGATCCTCTCGTTTGCGAGGCGGGTGCTCTAACCTCTTTGCTACAGGTCTCCCATGTAGGCAAGATCTTCTCGATCGTGGAGTCCTGTAACTCAGAGGTTAGAGCGCTCGCCTCGCAAGCGAGAGGATCTGGCTTCCATTCCTAGGCAGGGCCAAATGTTGGCCAAGTTTTCTTGCTCAACACTCGGTTTACTTGGCAATAAGTAGGAACTCGGTTCTTAGTCAATCGGTGGACACCCGCGCACCACACTCGCACCCACACCCTCTCCCCCCCCCACCCCCACGCACTCACTGACTCCCCTTCCCCCTCACGCAACTCCAGCTGATGTTCTCCTCAGCAGAAGCCTCCAGGGTTTGGGTGACCAGCCCAGTGCCAATAGTGCAGCTCCTCTTCAACATATCTATACGTTCCCTCTTGGTGACATCATCCGCAGACCTGGGGTCAGCTTCCACATGTACGCGGACGACACCCAACACTATACTTCTGCCTCCATCCGCTATTCCAGCACCGCTCGCTGTTCTGGCAGAATGTCTGTCAGACATCAAGTCCTGGATGAGAGCCAACGTCAGTACCTCCAGACCTCAGGTGGCTGAAGGCTCTCCCGCCAGTGATGGGGCGGGTGGGTCGGGGGACATGGAGCAGGCCAGAGCCGGCTGAGCGGAGGGAATGGGCGGGTTGGTAGGCGGTTAGGAGGTCGCAGAGGTAGGGTATGTGAGGACCGGGATCTTGATCTGGATCCTCTGAAGGATAGGGAGTCAGTGGAGTCGGGGGAGATGGGGTTACGGAATTTGGTGCGGGAGAGGACATGGGCTGCAGAGTTCTGGATTATCTGCAGCGTGTGGAGGGAGGAGTTGGGGAGGTGATGAAGGCATGAACAACAGTTTCAGCAGCCTGAGAGGTGAGGTAGTGGCGGATGTTGAGGGAAGGCAGAGCGGGCCATGGCTTGAATGTTGGGGAGCAAAGACAGTTTAGGGTCGAACAAGACACCTGGGTCGCTGACTGGCTGGCGAGTTGTAGTGTGCAACCATGGAGGTTGATGCAGCCCAGAGCTCTCCCCCCGCACTAGGCTCCGTGACCCTATCGGCCCCACCATCATCCGACTCTACTGGTTTCCCGTCACACAGGCTCAACGTGACACAATGGACACAATCGTTCACATCCCTATCTTTCCCTGAGGATATGTTTTCTTTCAGCACATCCCCCCACCGGGTCAACAAAAACTAGCACTTATGGAGCAATCCATCACACAGGATAACGTCTCAGATTGCTTGACATTAGCCTTGGGGCCTCTCGCTTCAGAGGCCAACGCGTGGTCCACTGCACTGAAGGATGCCACAGATAGAGGAAGAGTGTTTGAGAGTTTAAGGACACGGGAACTGAAAGCACAGACAATGATGGTGGAACAAGCGCACGACCTTTCACGTCCTCCATCGCAGTTCTCAATGCCCTATTAGATTATAATATCTTCTCTCCTCTCAACCCTCTGCGCTCTGCTTAAAAAGCACAGCCGTGTGGCATCCATTTTTATGTCCTTCAACCCGACTTCACAGGTCAAATTTCTTGCTATTGTTCTCTTTGGTTAAATGCACACCACACGCCTACACGGCGCATTTGTAGAATAATATAATCCTTGCGTTTGATACGGCTCTTTCTCACCTCTCCGAGACGTCTCGGAGCACTTCACAGAAGTCACCGTAAAGTGAATCGACTGTATACTTTTGAGATGCAAAGCGGAAGCCAATCGCAGTGGCACTCCACAAACAGGCGTTGGGTTGAGTGACCACTAACTGCGAGATGAACAGAGCCCTGTGCAAATCTGCCTGATGTATAAAAAGGGAGAGGTTATGTTTCAAGTCACTTTTGTTTTAACCCCCTCATTCTCCCCCAATCCCAATGGTCTTCCCACGGGCTCCCACCCCCCGGCTATCGCTGTTAAGTGCTTTGAGATGTTTCCGAACCGAGTAAACAACCGACCAGGCTCCGGATGCCCTTAAATCTTTAGCTTTGAGGCCTGTGTAGAGGGAAACTTTATTGTGACATTAACTTCCTCTGTTAGCTTTCTGCAAATCTGTAGTGAGCGTTGAAGCAAGTCGCTCACACACCTTTCACAGCGCTTTTCTTTTTCACACACCGTTGTGGCTCAACAACAATTTCTAAGCCCTGCGTGAAGGGTTAGCGTCTCAGAGAGCTTGACAGTGCAGACCATGATCCCAGGACGGGGGAAGGATCTGAAGATAATAATAACCTTTGCCTGTGATACAGCACCACATCACATCGTCAAAATGTCTCAAAACGCCTCAAAGAGTATACTGTAAAGTGAATTGACTGCGTATTTTGCGGGAGAAACCCGGCAGCTAATTGCACACAGCGGTGGCCCACCAACAGTTGTGGATGGATTGAGTGACCAAATTATTATTTTTCATTTTTTTTTGACTAACAATCGACTAAACAACCGGGTTCCTGCTTATTGCGAGGTAAACAGAGGGGTGCGGGGTAAGGAAACTTGCCCAACATTTCGCACCTGTCCAGGAATCAACCTCAAGTCCTCTCGCTTGCGAAGCAGGTGCTCTAACGGATACGCTACAGGACTCCACATCCTGTGAAACGCTTTGAGATGTCTTGATGACATGATAAGGATATCATTTACTGGAGACTGCGGAGAGTTCGATGCCTACATAAAGGGGTGGCTGAGCCCTGTGGAAGCTCTGGCTCTGTGTCTTTCTGTTGCCCAGACTGTCAAGGATCAGGGACCTGCTCTTAACGCCTCATCTGAAGGGCAGCACCTCCGACAATGCGATGGTCCCTCAGCGATGCATTGCCTAATTTTACGCTCTTCAAGATGCTATTCTGCATGAAGGGCGCTGCAGTATAAAGGATAATGCCGTTGATTGAGAGGATACAGAGGAGGGCAATAAGAATGATTGAGGGGATGGAGAGACTGGACCATGAGCAGCGACTAGTTAAACTGGGCATGTTCACGCTGGAGATGAGAAGGTCGAGGGACGATATGATTGTGGCCTTTAAGATTCTAAAGGGACTAAATAACGTAGGACATGATCAGCTGTTTTATCTTGTACTGAATAACGGAACCAGAGGACACGGCCTGCGATTGAAGGGGGTAAATTCAGAACAAATCTGCGGAAACATTACTTCAGTGAGCGAGGAGTAAAAGTGCGGA